TTCAAATATGTTTATGACATATTGAATTGAAAAAATAAATAAAAGTGTAAACAATTTCACAACTAGTTTCTCTCAGATAAGTTATAAATTTATATATAAATCTATAATTATTTGAATTAAACAAAAAATCGACTAACCCAAAATAGTTTCTTTCGGGCCAGACATATATTTATAGATTTTGCTCATAAAATAATTAAATATGATTTTTTTTTTAACATTTTGAATTTTGAAAAAAAATGATAAATACAAACTAGTTCAAAACTAGTTTATCTCGGATAAGTTATAAATTTTATAGATTAAATTTATAATTATTTAAATAAAAAAAATAGAAATCCACTAACCCAGGACTAGCTTCTTTCTGTACACTTGTATAGGTTTTGTTTATAAAAATTTTAAATATTGAAAAATATTGATTTAAATGCCCACTAAAATGTATAATTTTTTTTTTATACGTACTATTTAAGAGTGCTGAACGATTAAATAAAAATTTGTTTATAATTACTTAAATTGAAATTTAATCAAAACTTACTAGGCCCCCATTAGTTTTTTTCGGACCAGTTACACCTTTGTAGATAATATTATATTAATTTGAAATAAAGCGAATTTGTAAAAAATAAACTTACATCTGAATTGGCTGATTTGAATTGGTTGATAACTCGTTTTTGTGGAACTAGTTACTTTTGGTCCTAGCAAGTTAAGTATTTATAATATGAGCATAAAGAAAAAATGTGTTTTGGTAGATACAATTTTTTACGGGTATATATACCGATTAAGCTACTTTCGAACTGGGTGATAACTAGTTTCCGATATACTAGTTACCTGCAAGTTCACTGGGTAAGCGTGTTTAGTGTTGATTAAAAATTAAAATTTTTAGTTACATAATTTATAAACATTCAGAATCAATTACTAACGAATTAGTTCAAAACTAGTTGCTGATGAACTTTTTTTGTTTTTTCAGCCAAATATAATTTGAATTATTGAAGCACGAGTAAGCACGAATAAGTTAGCTTGCAATTTCACATAATTCGTAATTATTCACAAAGACGAGTTAGTATTTTTTTAATACATTGCAATCTCTCCAGTCAAAGTGTTGGAGAGTAACCGGCTTTAATAAATTAAATACCAAATGTCGTCTATATTAAATTTTGCGAATTTTCGCTTTGAGCTTACTCACTCTTCTGCCATCCATATAGTATGTAGCTTGTATACTCACATTGATTCTGCCTGTAGCCATTTTGATCGGCATTGTAGAAAACAGTAATATAACGGCCGTCAGTTTGACGATAAGAGTAATAGCCGACCACAACTAGGGTCTTTATTTTGTCGTAGATAAGGAAGTAACCGCGTTCATAGCGCGCAGTGCCATCGGTCAATTCATATCTAAACTCATAACTACCATCCGGGAAGCGATGATGGAAACGCTCCAAAACATCTTTTTCCTTAACAACATCCTGCTGTTGCTGTTGTTGTGGTTGGTAATTCTGCTGATTGCCACCGCTCAGGCCACTGCTTTGTGCATATTGATTTTGATTATTTGTGAAATAAGTCGCAGCGGTTGCATCATTTTGTTGGTAGCTTGATGAGTATTGATTGTTTGGACGCGCTGAGTTGTTGCTGACAGCCGCTTGTGTGCAAGCCAAAGCCAGACTGCAGAATACGATTAATGCGGAAAGTTTGTTGCTTTCACTGACGCGACACATTTTATTTGCTTTTGTTTTTATGCTTTTGCAGAATTAATCCTTTGCCGAAAACGTGGTACTCCAAAAGTTTACTGCACACCTGCTTGACTGTGGACTGTGTGTGGGCGTGTATGCTGCGGTTTTGTTGCTCGAAGACATTTTAATGTAAGCACCGGCCAAGCGAGCGCTTTTATAGTACTTAGCTGCTGGCGCTGTGCGAATAAAGCACTTACATCCGAATGCGAGCATGTGTGTGTGTATGTGTGTTTGTGCGCGGCAAGCGCGCCTCTAAATAAAGATGTCAAAAATTGGAGACGCTTCATCAGCCAAACGACCCGGCGTTCGGTCGGCCAGCGCGCTGACTGTTTGCCGCGGCGGCAACGGCGGCGCGTGTAATCACAGCCGGCATCTGCGCGAGTGCTTTGAAAGCGTGAGTGTTTGTATGTGCTTTGCTATTTAATTGCGCACGCATAATTCAGCCTCACCCGCTTCTGTTGCTGTTGTTGTTATTGCCAACTTGATTGCCGTTTGCCACACAAGTTCTAAGTTTTGGCTTCTAATTTGCCACGGCACTCAAAGAAATTTGCGCGCACAATTGTGTGTGCTTCCCGTTCGCCGTTCACTTGCCTTGCGAAGGCAGGAAGAGGCAGCGCGGCCACCTCGCCGAGCCTGATCGCATTGAAGATCGCTTGATAAGCGATTTTTTTGTATTTTTACCTCATGCGCGCTCAATTGAATGTGGCACTGTAATTATTATGTTTACCTCTGTAATTCGTTCCTGCGTTTTTTGTTGTCCTCGACTGAAATTTTGAACGCTTCGCTCTTGCGCTTTTATCAGATCTTCAGCGCGTCTGCTATGCCGGCTCATTGGGGCACAGCGCGCTAGTGTAGCAACAATTGCCTCTATATCTATAACATAAATATAAGGGAGAACGTGCTGCAGGTCTTAAATGTTTTCGAAAAGTTCAACATACTCCCGAACACACACACACACACACTTGCAAACAGAGAATAAGTATGTTAGCAGTCGGAGTCAGTTTTTCTGCCGCTAAAATTATAGTTTCGTATAACTCACAGGTACTCACATACATTATGGAATTTTGGGCGTTGTTAACATCCACCAAAAATATGTCACACCGAAATGAAAATGGTTGTCATAAAATGTATACTTTTACCGTTGTCATATTAACGGTTCAGAAAAAGCCAAAGAAATAAAAAGGCAAATTATTGGTAGCCGGTTCTTTTCGCACATTTTTCTGTCAGTCCGTGTTTGCAAATTTATAATTTCGTGTTTAGGTGTCATTTCGTTGCGGTTAATTATGAGTTTGTTCACCTTTTTCATTATATTCATTATATCTGATAAATATAATGCTACAATTTTAGACGAGTTTGTCTAATGCCTAAGGACAGCCATATTTTAATTTTATTTTTGTAAATATTTTTACAAATATTTTATTTTTATATTTATGAAATATTCCGTGTATATAAATCCATGCAATTAGTGATATGAAATATTTAATATTATTCAAAAAGAATTAAAATAAAAAAAAAAATGTGATGAAGCTCGTTTACAGAAATTTGTTTTTAAATTCGCTGACGATTTCATACCATTACTTTATAGTATGTTAGTGACTCTTTGAATCACGCGGAGTTCACACGGCACCCACTTTGCACACATTTTCAGCCTATCCAACAATTTCGTGAACGATATGTCTATCAGCCTCTTTCGCACCGACCAACTGCGAGATTTGCACATACATATATCAGTTAAAGGTTAGGTCTAACTTAAAAAGTTTTGAATTCAATTCTTGTGGTTCCCTTTTAGCCTGTCTGGTACAAGACTGGAATACACTTGAACGTTTTTCGTTGAGCCTGTTACAAAGGGAAACTGAATAAAACTCAGATCCTTTACTTGTGGTATAGTTACCAACTCTACGACAGTGGCCAACGAGGGTGACCCTATGGAAATACTGTCTTGTACTTTGTGTAAAGATATTCCAAGAATGAATAAGGAATTATTTTTTAGATATTAAGAGAAGAAATTATCGGATCCGAGAGTTGTTTCCCACAAAAATTTTAAAATCGGCCATTAACAATGAGCAACCGTTAATTGGATTTAGTATGTATATCTAACCTAGAATTTTCAGATTCGAAATTTAAATAAAACTTTTTTTACTGATCCCATACTTACCGTAAAATCCTCAATTTTTTGATGAGTCTTCTAGAAGAAACGTGAACTTTGGAGATTGTAGCATTGTCCTGAGTAATATCTCATCAATTTGTTGGAGTTAGTTGAGACGTTGTGAGTTAGGAAAGGGTACAATAGACCCTAGGTTGCTGTGCAATCCTTATTTACTTATCGCATCTAATCTAATATTAGGTAGTCGAAAAAGTATTTTCGTATTTCTAATCAAACTTCAACTTAATTTTTTTTATTATTTATAATGAAATTTAATGAACCAAGTATGTACCATTTTGGTCGACCACTTTTTGCCATTTGTACGTTAGAAATACTATTCTATCAGTGTAAAACTTTTCTGCTTTCTCGGTGAGAAACTGCGACAAATAATTTCCACAGGCTTCTCTTGAAGGCAACTTTACTCTACTTAAGGCGGTTGTGAAGTGGCCGAAACAAATGGTAGTTCGATGATGCAAGGTCCGAACTATATGGGGGATGCATTAAAACTTCCCAGCCAAGTCCTCCAGTTTTTGTGAGTCATCAAAGGTGTGTGTGGTCTAGCGTTGTCCTGATGGAAGACGAAGTCCTTTCTGTTGATCAGTTCTGACTGATTTTTTCGATTCTTTGCTTCAATCTGTATAATCAATCGTTCGAACAGGCTGGATCCCTTTTCGCCTCCTGTTACCATTCGCTTCAGAAACGGTTCGATTTTATTTTGCTTCTGCAAAGAGTCGCAGTTTTTAATTCTGTCCATTAAATATGTGGCATATTTGATGAGATATCTTGGCAAATATAACAGTTTTAAATATAAAGGCTTGAGCTCCGATAACAGCGGCCAAATGACAAATGAGCGGCTTTTAGAGGATAAAAGGACGTGTACAAAATTCTAGATCTATAACTCTGAGAAACTAAACTCTGAGAGACTAGTGCGCGTGTATACAGACGAATAAACATACATACATACGGATAATGGCTAAACTGACTGATCATTTATATACATATATACTATAAAGAATGCCCGATGTTTCCTTCTGAGTGTATCTTGTTCAGGTACTCATTTTATGATGAACTAATTACTCGCAATAACAGTTATGGCAGTAGACAAGTTCAACGATATAATAAACTTCAAAGCATTGCATAAAGGAAGTATTTTATTTTCGGTTTTTAATTACAAGAAAATATATGTATAATGTAGTTTCGTAAGCCAGGTCAAAATTTCTATACCAACTTAATCGCCTTGATTCACAATCAGGTGTTGTTTGTTTAAAAACTATAATGCCATGATTGAACTGGGCCTGTGGGCGAAGCAACTGTTGGAGGAACTCCTACCGAAGAACCTTGTGCAGCTGATTGGTATTGATATACTTGGTTGGTTGGGCGTACTGTGGGGCGTGTGTGGTGGACTGCAGTGGAATGTACTCCTGTGGAAGTTTGGACTATAGATGGGGAATGAACTGGAGGTGGTGAGTAAGCGCCTACTGAGGGGAGAACTGTGGAAGCTGCTGGAAGTTCTGAATGTCCTCCCGTCTGGGAATGAACGCCTGATGACTGACTAGCCCAAGAAGAAATAACTGCCGGTTGGAAGGGAACAATTGGGTGAGCTCCCACTTGGGAATGACTTTCTACTCCATGTTGAACTGCCGATTGGCTGGGAACTGCAGGGTGAACTGCTTGTGAATGGACTCCAGACAAATGGGGAACTCCCGGAGATGACACCACATTTGACACGGCGGGAGCAGCAACTGACGACTGCCATAATTGACTTGGGACAGGCTTAACTCCTACGCTGGTGTGAACACCAGAGGAAGAGGAGACAACCGATGCAGGATGAGCTGATGCGGAATGGTGTGCACCAGTAGATGAGTGAACATCTGACGCCACATGACCGCCGACTGATGTATGACCAGCTGACGATGAATGAACAGATGAATGGTGGGGTCTTGATGGTTGGTGTGCAACAGTAGATGAGTGAACGCCTGACGCCACATGACCGCCGGCTGATGAATGACCAGCTGACGATGAATGAGCAGATGAATGGTGCGGTCCTGATGGTTGGTGTGCACCAGTAGATGAGTGCATGCTTGACGCCACATGACTTCCAACTGATGAATGAACGGCTGAATGTTGCGCTTGTGATTGATGACCGTACGAGGGTTGACCATGGCCAACAATAGATTGATGTGCCGGCATATGTGATGTCGCCGTTGGTTTCAATTGTATGAATGGATTATCGGTTGATGGAACAAAAGGCTTTGGGGTTGTCGTGGAAGTGTGCGCATGTGGTTTACTCGGTTTACTCTGATGTTGTGTTACCGGTGAATGCGCGGCGTATGCCGATTGTGGTACGTATTCTGGCACTTCGATACTACGCGGGAGATGTGGTTGCGTTCTACTAAATGTGGCTGCAACGTAATAAAATTAAAGTTGGAATCATTATCCAGTTTTAAATATATATAAATTTATGCATAACTGAAACTGAGTTCAAGCTTTCAGTTTTCTATTGACTAACGAAAACGTACTTGAATCCTGTCGGTATCCATTCTCATCAGCAGTGTAGAAGACTGTTAGGAATTTATTGTTCGATATTGGGTAAGAGTAGTATCCCTTGCGTGCCAACACCATATTTTTACCTGCTGGCAACCAGTAGGCGCGTTCATAACGAGCTTCACCGTTACTGAGCAAATATCTGTTACAAGAATCATACGTAAAAATTACATAAACGTATAAACATGTGTAAATTATAGCTGGCATTATAGTGATACCGTTATAACCTAGTATATGTTGTGCCTGAATACGAAATAGAGAACGTGACTAGCTTTCAATGGAATTCGAACTCTAGCAAAGTCTGGGCCACTATTATAAATTAAAGAAAACGTAGTTTTTAGTTATGAGGAGCCTTGACACCGAACATTGTGTGACTGCTGCCTGAATAGATTTCTCACTGATTTATAAATTCTATTTGTTTAATAAGAGTTGAAAGAAGAGACCGAAGCTAAGTGCCGCTTGGGAGATCTAATAGTTAGTTCTTTAGAACTCATATTGGTTCTTGGGAATGACAAAGGATGAATAAAGGAGGACAGGATAAGAAGAAAAATCAATTAGAAACATTGTTCATAGAACAAATAGGAAGCTTCTCGATAATGTCAACTTGGCTTATATATACTGGTAACAAGATGTTGTTAGTCCTCTGATAACTGAGAGTTGCCAGTAAACTTATATTGTGTTAGCCAAGCCGCAACCGCGTTTCTGCATGTTTCCGATCAAAAATGTGTACTTCTATACAAGTTCTCTTTCCAGTTATGTCAAATATTTTCAATTACTAATCCCTGAAGCCGCTTATTTTTGGTAGATAACGGTGATAGACAAATACTATAATTTTAAGCCAATTAGTTCATCTTCAATATATAATATATTCTAATACGATAGAGCTCTTTCAGTCAATGTGTAGAGCCAAAGCGCTCGCCTTGCCACACTTGCATGTCCATTTGCGGTACTACTGCTCCCGTTCGCTGCCCGAAAATAAGCTACTTGTTCATCTGATACCCACATAATCCACACACAATTATCATTAATTTAATATAAGTATGTATGAGCATGGCAGCAACAATTTAATTATCTTACCTGTACTCAAAGTGTCCGTCCAAGGAGCGATGATCATACTGGTCGATGATTCGTGGTTTGGTTACCGCAGCCGGATGGTAGTAAACACGCTCCTCCTTCGCCACTGAAGCGACGCTGGGCGCTACTATGCCACCTACACCGCCTGCTAGACCCACACCGGCACCTACTCCGCTTTGTCCACCCACATCAGCAACCATTTCAACAACATTGTTGTTGACCAATGGCACTTTGGTGAGTTGCTGCTGCTGTTGTTGTTGTGGGACTTCAGCACTGCTGAGCAGCAGCAGACAGGAAGCGTACAGAAATATGCTCCAGATTACCACAAATTGCGCCATTACAGTAATTTTTATTGATTCCCCTTTTGGTTGCACAGAAACTTTTTATGGCGCACTTTTTCTCAATATTTTGTTGAACGACTATTTTGGCGAGTTGCGAGTTGCGAGTTGCGAGTTGAGAATTGCGAATTGCGAATATCGATTTTCACATTCGTCGCGTTTTATTGGTTTAACACAATTAACAACTTTAGCGCTGCAGTGGTGTTGCCTCAATGCCGCCATAGGGATACAGAACTTTGGTTTTTATACCCGAAAATGTAATTTGTTAATACCTTCTTCTGCAGAATTGCCTTGGATAAATACTCGCACTCACGCACAATTGATTGGGGAAGTGCGTCCAAGCGCTGTCTTCCTCTTTGTCATCCGACGTTGTTGTTGTTATCTTTTTGTTTCATAATGAACTCACATTTATATATTTTTCGGTTTCAGTTGCAATGGCCGCATTATATTGGCGGCATCTATGTATGCATGTGTGTGTTTGTGGGTAGGTAGGTAGATAGGCAGTTAGTCGTAGGCAGGACGGTTGACAGAAGTGCATAACATTGCCATAATAAGACTTCCATGAATTTTTTGGGTCGAGTGAATTATACTTAGTGTGAGGAAATTCTTAACCGCGTGCGTGTCCACGCATGTACGTGTGTGTGTCTGTAGCACTTTTGCAAAAAAAAAAGCACGAAAGTGCATTTAAGCTGTGTGCTAAAATTTTGTTTAATTTGCGCTTGAGAGGACTGAACAGATGTGGCGGTGTGCGTGGGCTTTACGAGTATTTGCTCATTATTGTTTGTATTTTTGTTATTAGTTTACGTGCGCGCATATTTTCGAAAAGTAGGTTATATCCACTACAAATATGCAGATGTTATTAGTGGTCGTTGACCAGTGACGCGCAAATGTATTATTCAAAATTTAGCCGCGCTTACTTTCTTGCATGCGGTTTGGATCCCTGTAGGAATTAGGTTGGCTTGTATATAACAGGCAGTTGCCTTCGATTCTTTAAAATTTAGCAAGTAATGAATCGAACAAACAACTCGTTTGAATGTCCAATAAACTGGTATAATCGAATGAAAAGGCATAAGCGAATAGATTGGCATATTCGAATGGGAAAAGCACATCGAGACGTTTGCAAAAAATTTATGGAAATTTTAATATCAAAATTTAAAATTTCGCGGTTTTGGGAGTCTAACTGTAAATTTTTTAGTATTTTGATATACATGCATTTGAACAACGATACAATTTCCAGCAGTTTCGTTGCTTACTTACTAGTAACCGCTAAGGCTGGACGGGATTTACGAGCACACTTCACACTTCGTTACATGTTCGTGAATTCTTGAACAAAAACAATACTTTCACGATGCCGCAGCCTCCATATTCGCTATTTCAAAAATAAAGAGAACCGTAAAGGGTTGCTATTTTACAAGCATAGATGACATTAAAAACGCATCGCATCGAAAGATCTAAAGGCTATCCCAAAAATGGAGTTTGAGTTTCGATGATTGGAAAAAGCGTTGGCATACGCGCATAATATCGATTGAGGACTATTTTGAAGGCAACAACACCAATGTAGTTAAATATCAAACCCCAATATAATTACTAGAAATGGCTTTACGAAGCTCTTGAGAAAAAAATCAGACGAATCACAAGACGCAGCTACAGTGGGGAGCACAAAAAGTAAAAATTTGTGCTTCGTGTGTTTATATCTGCATAAGTATAGAAGTAGCAAAGAAGTTTTAAAAAGCTTTTTATCCTTTTAGTTCACATCAAATTTTAAAGAAAATAAAAAATATTTTTTAATAGTAATATATTTATTTCATTGACCTTCAAAATAATGAAGAAGGTATCACCACATATTTTGGGGACTATTATAGTCATTACATAGACCAGGTCTTCCACACGAATAATATCTAAAGCTTGAAGTAAGCCAATAATTGGTCATAAGGGTTCAGAAAAGACGACCTAGTGTCTTAAAACACAAGTCAAAGTCCAGAATAAAATTGCAGACGTACGTCCCATGAAAAAACATATAAGAAAGAACAATCACCTGACACAAAATAACGTATTTATAGAAATAAATAAACGTGTAAGTAAATGGAATACCAGAAGAGCACTCCGAGGCATTGGTTATAACGCAGCGGTAAAAAATAAAAACCTGCGCTGTCGGTATAGAATGTTAACAGCTGAATTCGCCAGACAGCACCGAAATTAGTCAGCTGATGATTGGAAGCTTGTAATCTGGCCAGTCGATTTAAAATTTAATCCTTTTCTACTAGATGGCAAACAATATTGCTGGCATTTCCCTTCAAAAGAACCATGTTACACAAATAGTGAAGTATGGTGGAAGTGCCGTCATGGTATGGAGTTGCTTCATTTACTGATACGTACATCTTTACAAAAAATCTATGGAATAATAAGAAAAGATCAATCTTCATAGTTTGCAGAACCATATAACTGATTTTGTGGAGAAGAGTGCTAGTCGTAAAGAAGAAGTCATATTTCAACAGGATGACGGCCCAAAACATACACTCAAAATCGTGAAGTGAGTGCTTGCCCAACTTCGAAAGTATGCCAAAGCTATGTAACATATGTAGTGGTACGAATTAATACTAGAAATTAGTTATTTACAAAAGCTTCTGTAAGGTGCATAATTGTGCTTATGTGAGTTGTTTTGTTTTTATTTGTGTTTTACTTAGAATTCGATATTACTCTATATTCATGGAGAATATAATGAATTTGCGAAAACATCAGAGAATTTCAGCATCTCTTATGGGTCAGCTCAACCATCCCTAGTTAATGTTTTGAGTATGAATGAAAAAACGACGGCATGTGTAGGTCGCAAAAATGATGCTCGACAACATAGCTGAAGAGCGTCATTTAAAATTTATTATTAATGATAACAAGTAAGGAAGGGCTAAGTTCGGGTGTCACCGAACATTTTATACTCTCGCATGATAAATTTGGTGCATGTTATTGTACTCTCCCATATTGTTGCGAGATACCAAAGTGATCAGCGTGACGAGTAAAGTTGAAATCTGGATGTCTGTCTGTCCGTCTGTCCGTCCGTCCGTGCAAACTGTAACTTTAGTAAAAATTGAGATATCATGATGAAACTTGGTACACGTATTTCTTGGCTCCATAAGAAGGTTAAGTTCGAAGATGGGCA